GGTTAGGCTACATGTTGGCTACACAGTGATGAGCCTTTCCTTCTAAACCTCTATGCCACTCTGTTATTTTGGCATGTGTGACAAAAAATATTTATGGCTAAGTGTCAGTAATTTAAGAAAAGAAATGAAGAAATTAAAAAATCTGTAATTTGCAATATGGAAATCTGTAATATGAAGCAATAAGTACATGTGGTATGTTACAGTCTTTCCCTTTTTACCCCTCCCCCTCCCCCCCCCTTAAAATGGCAGGAGCAAGATTAGAGTGGTTATCAATTTAAAAAGATTCTTGGGGTGTCCCAGAAATGGACTTTAAGGGCTTCTTTTTAATCATTGAGTTAGTGACTGAGATTTTACTTTGGTGTAAAGTTTAACTTTAATGGTCCTGTTCATGCTTCAGGCAGTTGATGGAGGATCTGTTTGTGTGGCATTGGCTAATCAACATCGTTACTGCTTGGTTAATATTCTCTCTGGCAAGGTATAGGACTAAATTAATTGATGTTGTATCTCAGATTGCAAACTACAGAAATGTACCTCACAGTGTCAACTCTCTTAGTTACAGGATTTCCCTGTATTAAGTAATTGTTGATCAGGCAGAAAAATGGGATCAAAATAATGTGTACCAGTACCCAAAGTATGAACTGTGTAGGATTGTCAGACAGGAAAGTATTTGCTGTTATGTCATGATGTATGGACTGAGTACAGTCAGAGGTCTGTGTGTCATGGCAGAGGGCCATATACTTTCCTTCCTGCTCAACCAGACTCAGTCGAGAAGTATTTGTTTTAAAGTTTTAAACATTTTAATATTATGTTTGAACCTAGGTTCAAGAGTTATTTCATTACGAGGCTGAAGTTACTAAAGGACTTGTCATGGGTGTTGGAATGGTGAGTGCTTGTTTGTGAATCTGTTTTGGGAGATTTATGGGTGGATAGAGATATAGATAGATAAAGAGAGATAGAGAGTGCAATGACTGAGTTTTGTTCAACCCCAAACCAAAGTAATCCTAGAGGCCATTCAGAGGAAAAGAAAATATCATGGGCAGCAGATGAGAAGTCAAAATTTAAATGGACAAGTAGCATCAAGGGTGGTCTAACTTAGTGACCAAGGAGCTATTGGTTTCACTTTTGAATCAGAATGGTTGAGAAAGGAGGGCAGGTTTTCTGATTCCATCATTGCAATGTAAAGTGAAAGCTTAGCAATTTCAGGTTACTTTGGACACAAAAAACTTAAGGTTGCTCATGCTGTGTGAGCCACTATTCTTGTCTGCAAGACTTTCTCTAAACAATTTGATTTGCCAGAAACTATATCAGTGTTGTCCATCCATTAGTAAAGTGAAGTTTTGTTGCCTCATTGTAGGACGAGTTTTTACTTAATGGGCCCACAGATGTCATGGGCATGTTTGTTACTTCAGAAGGGACCTCTCAGAGGGCACCACTCAGCTGGTCAGAGAGATTGCTGGCTCTGGGATATTCGTTTCCTTATGCTGTAGCACTTGGAGCCAACTCCATTTCTGTTCACAGGTCCAATGTTTATAAACAATTAACTAATTTTTTGCATTTTGCATTTCTTTTTTTGGTGCCAATCTGCAATGAGCAGAACTTTGATAATGTTCATTAGATAAATTTAAATCTGAATTATATCGTTTCACTTTCTGCTTTTTAAAGCATCATAGGGCAAGACCAGAAATCACAGAAGCAGTCACTTATGTTCAAGGTATAAGAAGTTCTGTTAAAATCTTCTTGATATAAGCTCATTAATTTTGAGTGTTATACATTCAGTTCTTCTTTTACTCCTGTCATACACTTTCTTGGTTTCTAAAATAATTTAATTCCCGTTGTTTGGTAAAGCAGTTCTAAATACCTACACTGATGGCAAAATAAGGTAATAAAGTACTATGACTTCAAACCACGCTCCTGATTTGAATGCTTTATCTTTTCAAGGGTGGAAGACTCCTTCTGAATTACGATAATCAAGTGTTTGTTTGTTCTTCAAGAGAAGTCTACTGCTTGGTGCAGCTTTCGTTCAGAAAACAGGTTAGTTTCTTCATCTATTGTTTACGAGCACGTTTTTCACCACTTGCGCCTTGAATCAACAGAACTTACAAAATCCATAGCCGGCAGCTGAGTGGGGTTAATTGCTTAACGCTAAGCAATTACTGGGCTCATGGCTTGCACAGCAGATTAGAGATTGAGAGCTCTGGCCAGGGGTTTCAATGAAACCCATGCTGAATTCTGCAGGAGCGTTGTAGGTGTAGGCCATTTGGTTGGTTTGCAGACTTAACTTTTGAGTGGCAGAGCTGTGAAAAGTCGGAGTGCAAATGTAAAGGGGATTGGCTTATTGTTTCGGCCACTGCCACCATCTTTGTCACAGAGTTCTTACAAAACGGCTCGCTACGGAAATTGCTGAGTGAAATCACTATCCAAGCCTTACAATGACATGCAAACACAAGGGTTCAAATCGCAGATCACGAAAAGAGATTTCGCTTTGCGCGACCATCAAGCACGTTACAGGCATCTCAAGTTCTTTACCAGCAAGATGAAAAAGTTGATTGAATGTCACTAATAACTCTTAGGGCCCTTTAAAATATTTCTTTTGTGTCCCGGGAGGTTTAAGATAAATTTAGATATTGACTACCCACCCAACCATTGACTATATTCACCAGGTGCAGATGTTGTTAAACGAGAAAAGAGTAAGTGAGGCTCTTCAGCTCGCTCATGTCGCCATGGAAACAGCAACAGGGCCGCAAAGAGATGAAAAGGTACATTCCTATAAAAAGATATTAAATAACAACATGTGCAATAGCTAATTTATTCATGACCTGGCTGCCTAAGACTTTTTTCGTTTGTAGTGGGAGTGGTACATGTATCAGATGGATTCCATTTTACATTATGGCTGTCAATCAAAAGATCAAAATGACGTCAACATCTGATAAGAACAAAAACGTGCCACATGAGTCACAAGCAGATACAGGGAAAAATAGAATTTTTTGTGTCATTTAATGAACACTAAATTTAACTAGCTTAAGTACAAAATTGGCTCGTAAAACTTGATTTTCGAATTTTTTTGCAGTTTAGAAATTTTTTATTAAGAGGACTTCTTGTACAACTTTGTATATTTAAATTGCGGAATAATTAAGGAAGATGAGAGTGATCATCGCAGCTATGAACGCTATTAACAAGCCAGCTCAAAGTTGGCGTGTTAGCTCAGTTGGTAGAGCACTGCATCGGTATCGTTGAGGTCATGGGTTAAATTCCCTTACAAACCTGAATGTTTTTCAGGCCTTATTTTCACAACTGCTTTTAAGCAGTTGTGAAAATAACGAACACTACTTAAAAGTAGTGTTCATAACTGCGAAGATCATTCCCATCTTGACTTCTCGTCTCGTTTCTTGTTTTTGTCGCTCGTAAACAGCTCCTTCTAAACTTTGTTTAATTGAGGCCTTCACTTCTTAAACTGGATTAAGTTGTGCAAAGGAATGGAAACAATTTTTTTGTGACGTGAGCAGTGTACTCTGATACTTAATGATGAATTACCAGCCTAAAGGCGAGTCTAGCACTCAGTTTATTGCACAAGATTTAGTAGCTATATGCAATTTAGCGGTTGGTAAGTTGAAATATCATATCTGTTGCGACATTTGTTTCAGATCCTTCAAAGAACGCAACAGCAAGCTGGATTTATATACATGGCAGAAGGGTACTTTACAGAAGCAGGAAGCCTCATGAAAGAAGGAGGACTGGATCCGAGAGAGGTATCGCTTTGCGATTTCAAGTGTTCTTTAAGGGTTTCCAATTATCTCAGAAAATGTGTCGGCCTGGGCTAGTTATTCAAAGAGCGGATGAAACTATCCAGTGGATAGTTATTAACCCTTTTACTCCCAGATCAAACTTGTTATTCTCCTTACTGTCAACCATACAATTCCTATTATTATTCCTATGTTAGTTCATAGAATTTAGTATTGGATCAACTAATTATCCCCAAATTGATATTTTTCTTTAATCTCATCACTTATCTTGTTGATATTGTACTGATATTGTAAGGAGAAATTCTGTCTTGGTCACTCATGGGAGTTAAAGGGGATCAGCTAAATTGGGAATGTTGAGATAATTTCCCTTAGGCAAACTCTCAAAAAATCGGTTTAATTGTTCTTGACTTGTCACGGTTTCTACGGCAGTTCCGTTTGTGAAGCTCAGAGAGCAGCTTTGCGGCGTCTAAGTGACTGATTTTGCAAGCTTAAGATCGTTGCTCTGTCAGTTTTAAGTGCAGTACTTATAATTAACCAAAAATAAACCAGAATTGAATTATAAACATCGAAATAAAATTGGGAACTACGAGAAGTGGATGTATTAGCTTTACATACTGTTGACCAGCTTGTTGCAAAATTTCCTGAAAGCAACTATCTTTTGCGTATTATTTCGTTTGCATGTTGATATTTTAATGTGTCGTCTTTTGTTTTTCTTTTTTAGCTGATAATCTTATTTCCAGACCTCCTCTCTTCTAACTGGAAATATCTACCATCCAGAGAAATAACAGAGCTGAGTGCTCTTGGTGAGCTCATTATCATAATTTTCGCTAAGTAATGCAACTCAGACATTCTAGAACAGTTACCGTGCCGTACGGTTTATCGAGTGGTCTGGAGTCTAGCTTTACCAAGGGCCACTTTGATGTGTTTTAGGGCAAGATTTAGAAGTATACAAGCTTTATTTTCTGTGAATGTGATTGTAATAACTTAGGGTAACAAGTCAAAGGACGGAGAAGGTTTGCTTGGGTTTGTTGGATTTCTCGGTAGTATTTCATATTAAACCTTTGCTTTTTTTTTCGCCTTCTTGCAGTGAAAGGTAGTAAGCAGTTTTTGGCGGAGGCCAAGCTATTCTTGATGCAGTTCCTTGTGAGTTGGTCCATTGTCTGTGCTTTTTATTGCTTTAGTTTGTGCTGGTTGCACGACCCACAGTGAAAGTGAAAATGTCGCATTCCTTTTTTTTCGCCACTGTGAGCGAATGATCTGAACATGGAAAGTTACACGAGCAGAACCATATGAAAAGTGCAAATGTACACGTGTTCTTTCACAGATGCCGCAACCCGATTAGCTGTGCTGCTCTCTATCAAATTAACAAATAGATTCTATGTTGCTGTGGGTCTGTACAGTGATAGATCACAGATGAGTTGAAAATGAAGTAAGAACTGAAAAGTGGCAAATAAGGCGCAGCCGAGTGTGTCACTGATGCTCTCACAACATTTTAAGTCTTCTGTGATCTATTACTGTACAGATCCATGGTAACATGAAATCTGTTTGTTTCATATAATAAAGAAGAAAAATGCTGTCGATGGTGACGCCATCTATGCCTCCAATAGATCGTAAATAAGAAGCAACCAGAATGCTTGTACAACTCAGCTTATTATATGATCCGTGATAGATGCTGCGTAAAGTGGTTAGCCTCACAGAGTTCGGTTGTCGACAGAATCAAATAAAAACACATACTTGCTAGGTCGTTAAGCTATGAACGACTGGCATATTTATGCTAAAACAATCAAATTATTCGCTTTCAATCTTTATGCGAAATGTTTGGCCTTCGTCGACTATCAAAGAAATCTCGAGGTCGTAATCATATTTTTCTAAAAGTAGCTGCTAAAATCATGATATCATCTTATCTTTCCAGGAAGAAACCAGAGAATCTGCTGAAGATTCGGGCTACAAAGAGGTTTGTTTGTTTGTTTGTTGTATGAATCGGTTGACTCTAAATAGTCATCTCACTAAGTTTACTCGATGTTGCATACTTAGCTTTTTTGTCCTGATTTACCGTTGTGATTACTAACGTTTTGGTCTTTCTTAGACATGGGGGGCTTCTTTCGTCTTTTGTAGGAGGTCGACACGGCTCTGGTGAAGTTGTACACACAAATAAATTCTCCAGACTTACTAAGGTTGGTGTCTAATAGAAACGCCTGCACTGTGGCAGATACCATCAGTTGCCTTCAAAAACACGAGGTATGTATTTTATTATATTTATTTTATTCTCATGGTTAGACCTTGACACAAACCGAATAGCTTCGACATCAACCTGTTTTTTATTTTTAATAAGACGTTTAAAAAGCTACACGCAATCCGTACATCTTGAAAACTTTTTTCAGTAAATTTGTTGCTCACCGTTAATCCGCGTTAATCTTCACCATCTCTACCCACCCATTGTTCTTACTCTCTTTAGTATTATCCCTCAGGTCTTTCTCTGCCTTGCCGTAATTAAATTTCGACGTTTCTCCATTTGACGATAGTCTTGTTCGGTGTGTAAAACGAAGCGCACACACGGCTTCTCTAAGCTAAGATATCGCAATATCAGACCGACACTTGTAGTCATTCAGAAGATCGGTACATTTAATTTTATCTTCATACTGTTTAACGCCTATAGGTAATATCATTATATTAATGATATTATTACATTACCCAGCAATAGCTGATGAGGATGGACGAACTTGTCAGTCAGAAGGTGTTATCTTGTTTAATACCGAACTCACTCAACTGAAATACAAGGAAATATACGACCATTGCAGATAGAGAATAGAGTATCTGTCAGATCCTTGCAATAAAAGGGTTGAGACAACGTCATGGCTCTAGCTTAAAATGAAAAGAAAAGGGCTGGGCTGTTTTTGTTGTTTTTGACGTGACAAAGAAGACGTAGAAAGTACGTTTTGTCTTTTTTTGTTTTCAGAGGTACCACGCTTTGGCACTGTTCTATGACTATCACAAACAACCTGTGGAAGCGATAGCTGTTTGGAAAAGGTATGTTTTTTTGCAGCTTTTTATTGAATTTCGTAAAGTGTAAAACACAATTTTAAACAAGAGCCCGCAGCAATTATATGGCAGATGTCATGCTTA